GACAGCGTTTAGATAAGTAGATTTTATGCTTTATAATATGTGGAATACTAAGCTCTCTATTTTTTTAGTATTTTAAAAAAAAGGACTTTTAAAATAGGTTCCTTACACAAGTGTAGGGCTACAGGATTTTGTGCTTTGTAAATAAATCCGCTGTTCTCAATAGGGCCATAAGATGAAAAAGTTTAAGTATTTTTATTTCAACTTCCCTATCATGCATACTTGGTTAAATGCTGAAAAGCTGTGGAAAGAAGTTACCCTTCTTTTATTCGTAAAAAGAACCGGGCGGGTTACTGCTTGCTGCACACTTGTTTCAACCCTGCTTTTTTGTCCAGGGTGGCAGGGGCAAGAATTTATTCTTGGAAGCTCACAAGTATTTGGATAACCTTGGCTTTGATAAGTCGAGCCTGGGACAGTGGGCAAAAGCCACTCAGTCACATACGTACACTTTAAAGAAACTATTAATATGGTATGTGTGTAGGCTGGCATGTTTTTTTCCTCTTAATGATGCTTTAAGATATCAGTATTTGGTTGAACCAAGCAATAAAAGGAGCCAGAGATCGTGGTGGTAATTCAATACAAAATGCTCACCTCCTCACTCTGTTTCATCGACTCTGCAAGTTGCTGTTTTTCCGAATTCGGCCGGTCTTTGTTTTTGATGGAGAGGCACCGCTTCTGAAGAGACAAACCTTGGTAAGAACCTTTGCTGAGTCATTGCAGTGCAAAACAGGGTGTCTGTCTGCTGATGCCAGTTAGTCCTTTTTGATTTCCTTCTTATTCTGCTTATGATTCTGAGCCATGAGGATGAAGGGCTTGAAGTGCAGTGCTGTGCAGGTGTTCTTTGCAATCCCAGTCTTGGTTAGCTGTTGGAGCATGCAGCTCCCTTTTGAAATACTCGGTGTTGATTTGCATAGAAACCAGATTGCAGAGAGGTAGGTGACCGTGTAAGCCTGAGTCCTGCTCCAGAATGGACCTGAACGTAACTCTTGCAAGCATTTGTACCCAGAACTGAAAACTGTTCCAGAGTCCCATGGAGGGAGCCGTCAGAGAGAGATTTAGAGGACCTGAAGGCTATGTCCCCATTGATGTAGGAGGAGTTGGGAGCTGCTTGTAGACTCGATGTACAGATTTGCAACAAGTATTCACTGGCTGTGTATCTTCAGCATCCAGAAAAATGTAGCTGGTGTTAATCTTCTCTTCACAGGCTAAGCGAAGGCATAGAAAGGAAGTTGCAGCCAGTGATTCCAGGAGAACTACAGAGAAGCTCTTGAAAACATTTTTGAAGAGACAAGTTATCAAAACTGCTCTTACAGGCAAAAGGCAAGAACAAAAATAATTTTCCATTGTTTAGAAGTGGCAGGTAAGTTTTTATGTAGCTATTAATCACTGTTGTGTGATTGGGTTTTTTTTGTTTCCCTAAGCAATGAAGCTTTGCCCAGTATTACACAAGTTCGAAGAGAAGAAATTGATGATATGTATGTGTTGCCTTCTTTACAGGACGAAGAGAAGAACAGGTAGGTAGAATCAAGAAAAATAGCTTAAATGGCTATAATAAACTCAGATAAAACTATAAAACACATTTTTTGACACTGATGAAAGGCCTTTGACACATGAGACCCTATAATATATGAAGTATATTTCTTTAATTTGTATTTTATTTCAGTGTCTCTTTGGAGAGTGAAAAAGTTACAGAAGCAGCTTGCAACTCACGGATTAAATTTCTACACTGGGTTTACATTTAAGGATGAAAATACTACCTCAGTCTCTGTGGCCATATCTATACGGCTAAATGAAACTGATTGTCCAAGCTGGGGTGGCTGATGTGTGGCAGCCTGATTCCGTTTTGCGTCCCCTCATTTAGTAGTGTAGATGTGTTCGGCAGAAGTAGGCTTTGTATTTACTTGTCAAACTTGTGACATCTTCTTAAATAACACTAAGTGCGAATGTGGAGCTGTCAGTTAGATTACTCTTTGCACATCTTCTGTGTACTTTTATTTACTTTAAATGCTGACCAAAGAAGAATTGGGTAATGGTTTAAGCAGCAACAGTTGTCTCAGTCTGGTTTTAACTGCGATAAGTCTGCCTGCTTGCTTTCTGTTCGGATCTTTTTGACTTGTGTGAATATACACGTGTGTGTTTGTATGTATATGCATATGTATGTGTGTACTTTGTTGTGTGTGAATTTTTGTACTTATCAGTGAAGGGGTGACTAATGTCCTTTTGCTTAAAATAGGAATTTTATTTTCCTCAGTAAATATCTACATCTTTTTTTCTGTTTGTGATTTTTAGCTCCGAGGAGGAAGATGAAAAAGAATGGGAAGTGAGAATGAGCCAAAAAAAGATGTTGCAGGTAAGTGCATCCTAATTGGCCTGTTACTGTGAACAATCCCATCATTAATGTGCTATACTTAAAAAAACAACAAAGAGGTTAAAAAAGCCACCCTGTTTGGGAGGTATAGGTCTTACTATAGCATTACTTACCAAGCAAACAAGTTAATTTTAAGTACTCTATGAATGCCTACTAATGAGGAAATGTAAGTGTAATTTTCTCCACTAGAGTACAGCAGAATAGGAATTGCTTAATGTTTTGTTGGGGTTTTTTTTCCCCCCTTCTCTGGAGACATGGAGAACAAATTATTTTTTGTAGTGATACAAGTGGAATGTATGCATTTGTGCACATGTGTATGCACGTGTAAGCATATTGAAACAAAATTCCTGTGCTTCTCCAAATATGAATTGATGTTGAAGCACTTAAGTCCTTGAGTTTTCACAGATAAATTCTGTGTTCCCTTCTGATGTGCTGATCTCATGGGAAGACGAGAAAAGAAATATATAACCTAAGAAGAAGGCGTAATGAATAATAAAATAATCTCTGCTTTTGTCAAAGTATAAATAAAAAAAAACACCCACAAAAAACCCTCTTGGAAATACTGTTTATCTTTGAAGTAGTTCACATTCAGAAGGAGAACCGCTTTGGAATGATAGTATCAGACTAGCTGAGGCTGTAGGACCTGCTTCTGTGATTTATACTAAACATCTTTTTGAAGAAAGCATAAAACCAAGTTTCTTATATAGTGTACGTCAAGAATTATGTACTTTATTAGGTAGTAGTTACCTCTTTTTTCTTAACTTTTCTTTACAGTATAGGAAGTAACAACAAATATGTTTGTTGTTGTTTGAAATTATTCTCTAAATATTTCATTTTTCTTGCTGTGCTGTAATATAAAATACATGTTTGTTGTTTTCCATTTTTGTAGGAAGAGTTATGTGAAAATCCTCATTCTGTAGATATTGAATCGGAAGATTTCAACAAGCTGCCTCCAGAAATAAAACATGAGATCTTGACTGATATGAAAGAATTCACAAAGCGCAAAAGAACATTATTTGAAGCAATGCCAGAGGTAATACTTAAAACAGTTTACAAGCCATCAGAGTGGAGCTATTGCCATTAATGCAGATGAAGACTACGTAAGAGTAGCTCATCTGGAAAGCTTTGCCCTCTGGCCTATTTAATAAGAGATGTTATCTTGAGGGGAAAAAAACCTAACAAGATAACGGCCCTTAACAGATCCTTCCCATGTGTGTATTCAGAATCCTAGCTCTTGATTTCCACTAAAATTGGTAGAGCTAATTTGTTTCAGCAAGAATGGAAAAAATCATGCTCTGTCATGCCTCATCAGCATTACGCCCAGGACGTCAATTACAAGAACATACTGCTGATGTGGATAAACCAGGCAGAATGAGCGCAGTGTGAATTCCAGACCCTCAGGTTGTTAGGGGAGTTGGCAGCTGGGAAAAGGCTTTTGTAACGTAGGCAGATGTGTTACTAAAGCCTTTTGGAGACAATCAGGCAATCATAAAATGCTTTGGGTTGGAGGGTACCTTTAGAGGTCATCTAGCCCAACCCCACTGCAGTGAGCAGGAACATCTTCAACCAGACCAGGTTGCTCAGAGCCCCGTCCAACCTAGCCTTGAATGTTTCCAGGGATGGAGCCTCCACTACCTCTCTGGACAACCTATGCCAGTGTTTCACCACCCTCTTTGTAAAGAATTTCTTCCTTTTATCTAATACAAATCTAACCTCCCTCAGTTTAAAGCCGTGACTCCTTGTCCTGTCACAACAGGCCCTGGTAAAAACTTTGTCCCCATCTTTCTTGTGAGCCCCCTTTAAGTACTGAAAGGCTGCAATAAGGTCTCCCCAGAGCCTTCTCTTCTCCAGGCTGAACGGCCCCAACTCAGCCTTTCCTTATAGGAGAGGTGTTCCAGCCCTCAGATCACTTTTGTGGCCCTCCTCTGGACCCACTCCAACAGGTCCATGTCTTTCCTGTGCTGAGGGCTCCAGAGTTGGACGCAGGACTCCAGGTGGGGTCTCACCAGAGCAGAGTAGAGGGGCAAAATCCCCTCCCATGACCTGCTGGCCACGCTTCTCTTGATGCAGCCCAGAATACAGTTGGCCTTCTGGGCTGCGAGCACACATTGGTGACTCGTGTCCAGCTTTTCATCCACCGGTCCCCCCAAGTCCTTCTCAGCTGGGCTGTTCTCAATCCCTTCATCCCCCAGCCTGTACTGATAGCGGGGGTTGCCCTGACCTGTGTGCAGGACCCTGCACTTGGCCTTGTTGAACCTCATGAGGTTCACGCAGGCTCCCTTCTCAAGTTTGTCCAGGTCCCTCTGGAAGGCATCCCATCCTTCTGGTGTGTCAACTGCACCACTCAGCTTGGTGTCGTCTACAAACTTGCTGAGGGTGCACAATCCTATAGTGCCACTTCTACAATATGTTTTCAGAGCACAGTTGGATTTTTTTGAAGTGCAATATATGTAAGATCAAATGATACCTTGTGCCCAAGTTTAAGCTAACAACTGTCATCTTAAAACCATCCACATGTGGATGCTAACTGCACTGTTTTTAAGATGGGGACCAGCTCCTTTAGCCAGATAAGTTTTGTTGTTCATATCATTGAGATCTTGTTGTGTTTAGCCAACATTCAGAACTACTTAATGGTACCTTTTAGAATTGTTGTGTGTTACCAGGCTATGCTCAAAGGAAACTATTAAAAGGCTCTCCAGAGGATGGTAAATGAACTTGCTTAAAAAGTGCAGCTAGTGGCATTTTATTTAAATTGACTTGGTTGATTGTTTTTTGTTTGTTTGTTTTTTTAAGGAGTCAGATGACTTTTCCCAGTACCAGCTTAGGGGTTTGCTTAAGAAAAGCAACCTCAATCGATGCATAGAAAATGTACAAAAAGAAATGAATCAACAGCACTCGGGTGAAATCCAAACACAGTATGAAAATGAAGGTGGCTTTGTGAAAGAAGTGGAATCTAGGAGGGTAGTCTCTGAAGATACTTCTCACTATATCCTAATAAAAGGTATGTCAGGTCTTAATTTTGTGAAACCTCTTGTTCAGTGTGTGCAATCTGCAGCTGTCAGTTTTAAGAAAAACCTGCAAATTGTTTACAGGTGCACGTAGCTGATACTGTGTATGAAATGTGCATTAGTGTTAGGCATAGTGAACTGATCTGTAAATGTGTAGAAACCCAGTTTATTAACCTTTAAATAACGATGTTCATTATGTAAAATGGAATGTTAGTATAAAGCAGTTTTCTACCAACCAAAAAAAAATAATCAACGCACAAAAACCTTTCAGGTATTCAAGCAAAAGAATCTACAATTAGAGACGTGGAAACTACTGCAGGACCCTCATCAAAGTTGCTTGAACTTATTAAGTTGGATAAAATCAGTGAATCTCCTGCTAATGCAAAGCCGGCTGCATCTGATGGGCTGCAGACAGAGAAAGACAGCGATGTGGTGACAGCACCACCCTCTCCTCGGACTTTGCTTGCTATCCAGGCAGCTATGGCAGAAAGCAGTTCAGAAGAAGAACTGGGGGATGAGGGTACAGGACAATTGGACGTGGACCGCTCTGTAACTGAGGAAGGCGGCATGTCTCCAAGAACAGTGCAGGCAATTCAGCAAGCTCTGAGTGCTGATGATAAAAGGGAGGAAGTTGTTACTGTTAGACCTGATGGAGTGCGACCAGCAAGATCGGAAGTGAAGGATTTTCTGCTTAGTAGCTCAGATGAGGAAGATCAGAATCCTGAAGTTAAGGAAGGAAAAAAAATACCTACAGCTACAATTCATTCGTCAAACCGAGTGATAATGCAAGACACTGAATTTGAACAGAAGAGTCAGGAGTTGGAAAAAAATTGTATTACACACAAAGACACCAGTGTATCCAGAGCTGAAAATTGTTCTTATGTTGACAATATTGGCAATAGCAAAGAAGATGTTGGCAAAGAAGATGTAGACAAAGAAGAAAAAGGTTCCAAAATTGACTTAAATTCTTTGGGAGATAGGGATATAAACTTGTGCATGCAGAAGCCAAGCTGTTCACCTGTACAAATTAGTATAGGGGCTATGATTTGTGCTGAAACAACAGACCTTTCTAAAAATGAGGAAAACTTGAAAATTTCTGAAAATACGGAAGACATAGTTTCACAGACAGAAGAGGATATGTCTGACGTACAAAAGGATGCTATGTTTTTTCCAGAAGTAAAAAGCGCTGAAGAGGAAATAGAAGGGATATCAGAGTCTGAAGACAGTGATTCTGATGGTATGTGCTTTTTAATTGTGTGAAAAGATAAGAAAATAGGACCTTATTGTATTTGCAGTCAGTTGAAGTTAACCTGTTCTCCTAGTAAGAAATGCTTTAAAATACATCTATTCCTACGTATGTAGGAGGTGGAAAGAAAATCTGATCTGTTTTTCCCCTTGGTGTTATGTTTTATCATTGAAACCTGAGTATACAATGCAGTGTATAAATGGTTAACCGTTTGTTTTCTGTAATTTCACAATCCACTTACCTATTTACTGCATATAGCAAAAAAAAAAAAAAAAAGACTGCCCAAGTTAAAAACGCATAAAAATACTTCAAACAAGAAGCAGGAAGTTGAAATCTTTATTTTCCTTTCAATAGGAAGCTTTATTGAAGTGGCTCCTGAAATCAGTAATGAGGCTGAGCTTCCTACCAAATATGATGAAAAAACGTGTGATGAAACAGCACTTCCAGAAATTGAGACAGACAGATGCGATATTGTCACACAGGACTTGCTGAAGGAGTCTGATGACGTGCAGTTGGCAAACGATCAGGGTGTTGAAAGGGAAGATGATGGTAAAGATGCAGCAGATGAGTGGCAAGACATCAGTTTGGTAACTCCTTGTTATTTGTTTTGTGCTAGTAATGAAGGGCTCTGTCCACAGATAGTTTTTAAGGAAAACTGTTGGACAGCTTCTTACTGTTTCATTGCTTTTCTCATATATGTATTTAATTCTACGGGAACTGATTTTTCATTAATGACAATGGTTAACCATGATCTCTCTGAAATCAGAGGAAAACTTTAATCTTTTAGCACACTAATGAATAGACCTCTTTCTGGTCTTATAATTTACTGCATTAGGGAAGCAATGGCAACTTCCAAGTGTGAATTAAAGGAGCATATACGACTAGAATAATTATAGTTGGAGACTTGGTGCTTTGCTTAACTAAGTATACCTGAATTGTTGAAATGATGAAAATCCTGTTTTATTTTTCAGGAAGAACTAGAAGGATTAGAAAATGACCTTTCTGCTGAGCAGAATATGCTTCAGGCTCGAAAACAGCAGCAGGAACGCGTTGCTGCTTCTGTAACGGGACAGATGTTCTTGGAAAGCCAGGTAGTAATTGTTGAATCATTTTGATTTGCTATAGGATGATGTGGTGTTCCCCCTTCCACCCCAGTCAAATATTTTCTCAAAAGCTGTTAGTAATTTTGCTTAATTGTAGGTAGAGGATATTTAACTGAGGTTAAATAATGTATTCCATAAAAGCGAATTGTGTAAAAATGCATCAAAATACATGTATATTGAAACACCACCCAAACAATGACTGGTCTGCCCACGGTTCCCTGCTTGATGTGAATGTTTCTCATATGCTTTCATAGTATTCTCTGGGCTGAGGTGATGACGGATTTTTATTGTTTGGTTGTGTTTTTTTGTTTGTTTTTAACCTGCATCTGTGTTTCATGGAGCCCACATAGTTGTAGTGCATGGACTTTTCTCCGTGTTAAAGTAGTGATTATGGAAAGCACAATGCTTAAGTATGCTTGTGTAATTAAGATAACAGTTTCTCAAACTGTGTATTAAAAATGTGATCAAGTAGTGCTTGACTTACGTGGTACTATCTGCCTGAGACGAGTAAGTGGGATTTTCCCCTTCACTTAACTATGCTTGGCGTTTTTTAGCGGAAATTAAGATCTGCTATGAAATATTAAATACCTCCCAAGTGTGCATCTGGCAGTTCTGAGTCAAGCAGAAGTATAATAGAAGTTCGTGTTCCAGAAGAAGTAGTAACTGATTTCTCTCTGTCCTACAGGAGCTTCTGCGTCTGTTTGGCATTCCATATATTGAAGCTCCGATGGAGGCAGAGGCGCAGTGTGCTATCTTGGACCTTACTGATCAGACCTCTGGGACAATCACTGATGATAGTGATGTCTGGTTATTTGGCGCACGACACGTTTATAAAAATTTCTTCAGTCAAAACAAATATGTGGAATATTACCAGTATATTGATTTTCAAAACCAGCTAGGTAAGCCTCTGGTATTGATTTGTTAGGTGCAGTCTTTAAGAAGATACTGCTGCCATGTATCTTTTTGAAGTTGTATTTCCTACAGAATTTTGTGTGTGTTATTGCAATGCTTGTTCTTTGGAGAGTCTCTAAAGACTACTATTTGCTGGGTGAACATCAGCATGATTTTTCTGGCATGGTAGGAAAATTATATTCTGATGTCATCAGACTTACAGTCTTCTGGAAATGGAATTTAATTTTGTATGTATTGACACATATTAGAAGAGGATCCAGTGTAGGTATATGGTCTGTTAAAGTTTTTTGATTTAGTTAATACAGCTTTTTTTTCTTCTTTCGGATTGCTCTTGTACCAGTCTAATCAAATTGTTTGTAATTATGTTGAGCTATTGAATTTGTGTCAAGTAGTGCATTAAGGGAAATATGAGCCAGTTTTAACTTTTTCTTAAGCTTTGTTTAAGCAGAGCTCTGTTAAAAGACAGTTTTGACATTTTCAAAGTTGGGAGAGGCTACGGACTTTGAAATAATACATTAATGTCTTCAGCATGTAAAATTTCACATCATTTTTATGTGGCAAAAAATGTCTTTAGTTTCTTCTCCCAGCAAATTGAATGAAATATTTTTTTCCCCTACTTATACCTGTTTAGGTATGCTACTGTAGCTTACTTTGAAAGGATCTCTGTAAAAGCAAGTGTGTGATTTTTTAGCTGTTATTAATATAATAGACCAGATCTTTTATTTTTTTTATTGGGGAAAAATAGTTACTATTGGCCTTCCTGTCGCATTCGTCAGTGACAGTTGATAGATATCCTGAGTGGCATACCAATGGTCTTGATTTGTGTGCTTAGACACACATCCCTCCTCCACTGATTTCTTTTATTTTTTTATTCTTACATTTTAGATCTAAACTCCTAAGGCTAGTCACTGAAAATCAGTCTGGTTGCCTCAGATCTTATAGTGTACCAAGTAGAAGTGGCCAGCTGAGTTCTTCTTTCTAGCTGTTTCAGAGGCTCCTATGGTCTGCTTCTTAACTGCACGGGCACAGATCAAATGGCTTCCACCTTGGGAACACTTTGAAATAGCAGAGGCATTGATATTACGGACTGGCATTCAAAACTGAGGACTGGAATGTTTTTATTTCTAATTTGGGAGTTATAAAATGCAGGTCAGCATTAGATGAGAAAAGGACAGCAACTGGAGAAATATATGTAAAATAATATCTCTTAGCCTTTAGAAACCCTGAATTTCCCAATGGTCTTTATATTGAAACGTTTTAATTTTGACCAGTTGTATTTGCCAGGTTAGTACAACTATTGGTGCTTGAGCTAGTAGTAGCATATTAACACTGCTCCAGAATATGATTTAGAAAGTTCTGATATTGAAGGAAATGTAATTTTACAGAGTTAATGCCTTTGTATTCCTTCTGGGTTTTGTCTTTCAGATAATATATTGGTTTTTAATTAGTAAGAGAACAGATGCTGAATGCAATGGCTTTATTTGGTTTATGCACTTTCTTTTACAGGGTTGGATCGAAGCAAGCTAATTAATTTGGCATACTTGCTTGGAAGTGACTACACTGAGGGTATCCCAAATGTTGGTTTTGTAACAGCAATGGAGATTTTAAATGAATTTCCGGGGCACGGATTGGAACCTCTCTTAAAATTTGCGTATGCTTTGTCATATTTTGCTTTTTTGTCTTTCCATAATACGAGTGTTAGTGAACATATTTTTCTGCTGCTTAAGCATACAGCAAAACATATGACATTCATTAAGGAGACTAAATTAACTGTAAAATATGCGATTTCATTATATCAGTGTTTTAAATGGCTAGTAAATAAGGTGACATGTTGATACAGCAATTATGGTGAGACTAATGAAGACGACAGAACAGCTGTAGAACTATGCGACTGCCTCTGAGTTCACTGCAGAGCTGGATCCCTAGTGGAGTGGAGGTTGTTTCTTCCTGAGTTTGTGAGAAGGTGCTGTAGCTTGCTCATAGAGAAAAAGAGACTTGATGACTTGATGAGTGAGGAATGGATGACCTGGAAAGACAGACAGGTAGGCTGTGGGAAAGAAAAGATTTGAAGAGGGCCAAGTCAGTTCTGTTGGCAATGGCAAGGATGGTTATTCATTTGTTTTTTTCCCTCCTTCTCTTTGTGTACCAAAAATCCTCCCAAAATGATCATTATGTGTGGAATATCCTTCCCAAGTGAGGCTGCTGTTTGGCAGCTTATGAGGCATCCGGGTGATGTTTGCTACTGTGGCTTGCGATGGCTGTATTGACTATGTGTGTTTTGTCTCTTCTGCTTTCAGATTATGTGTCCCTTTGGCCACTTTTATTTGGAAATTCTCTACCTCATCTTGTGTAGTAAATGAAGTAGGGAGACTAAGGCTGTTGAAATTAGTGTGGCGGCTAAACTGTATTTTATGGAGGCAAATGAATACTTTCCTCTGTTTTTCAGTGAGTGGTGGAATGAGGCTCAGAAGAATAAGAAATTGAGACCTAACCCGCAAGATACCAAAGTCAAGAAGAAGCTGCGGGAGCTGCAACTTGCTTCAGGTTTCCCAAATCCAGCAGTGGCAGAAGCATACCTGAAGCCTGTGGTGGACGAGACAAGGGGTTCGTTCACCTGGGGGAAGCCTGATGTTGAACAGATCAGAGAATATCCTTTTACTGTGTGGCAGGACTTGTTAGCTGCAAGTACTCAGGTTGAAGTTCATAAGGCTTGTCAGTGATTCAGTAACGGAGTGTCAGATTCTTAACATCTCATTGGTGTGAGGGGCCCCCAGCACTGTCTGCATGCACTCCCCCACAACGATACCGGCTCTGGAATGGCAGGGAATGCAGCCATGCATGTGTGGCACTCGGGGCTGCTCTGCCCTGCTGAGAGAGGGGGCTGCTTCACGTCTCTGTGTGCAAAGAGAGTCTCGTAGCTGGGCTGACTAGTTTGTTGTGCTGTGCATAGTTCTAGACTTAGGGTGGGATTGTTTGCATGCTCCTGACGTACGTTCACTGTCTTTCACAACAAAGTTTCAAAGACGAGTCAGAAATGGTGATGCAGTCTGCGCTTTGTCCTTGGGTTAGTCACTGCATTTCTTGCATCCGTTGCAGTTTGAGCTGCAGTGAATTGGTGAAAAGTAGATGACAATGCATGTACAGCTGACAGTGTTTTAAAGAGTAAATGAAACTTCATGTGTGTGCAAGTGCAAAAAAATAAGGTTTATTTATTTATAGGTATTTTGTCTTACAGTAGTACCATATAGCCAAAATGAGTTCTGTCTTCACTGAGACGGGCATTTGGAAATTATGATATTAGAGAAGAAGTTCTGTAACTAAGAGAAATGTAACAGTGTGATTAAGATACATGGTGTAATACTGGAACCATCCACATAAGTCAGCAGTAATAACTTAGAGTATTTTCTCTGGTTTTGTAGTGGCAAAAGCTTTGAAGTAGAGTAACCGTTCTCCAGACATTGTTTATTTGAGGAATTCTCACTTTCTGTGTTTACAAAATACTAGTAATAGCCATTTTGTGAAGCTCCTTATCTTTACTGTACATTCTGTCAGGATCACTTTGGCTGGACTAGGACAAAGATAGATGAAATCCTTTTGCCTGTGATAAAACAGCTGAACTTGCAGCAGGTAAAGTATAAAACCAATGTATAGTTTAAGGGTAACTGGAAAACTGTAGGAGAAGCATTTTGAAACAAGCAGCAAGGCTTTAATCTAAAATACATATCTCAGAAATGGGTATTGGGCTGTATTCTTTTAATGTATACATTTTTAGAAGTAATTTAACTTCTTTAGACTTTGTTTCTTTATGATTTGTGTGGACTGTGAGGCTCTCTACATATGTAAATTTCAATTGCTGGTTTCAAATTTTGTTATCCATCAAGCACCTATCTCAAGTCCAAATTGCTGTTTGTTCTGGATGTAGCTGAAACTACACTTAACCTCAAGCACGTTTAGTACTTTTGAAAGACAGCATGCTGTCTCTAAAAATGATGTATAAAAATGCCTGTAAGATTTTGGTGAAGTGTGACTGACCATTGGGTACCACCCATACCCATTGAGGAGGAGTGCAGACTGAACTGTTATCAAGTGTCCGTTGTTAATACTACTCTAAGTTCCAAAGAAGTGTGCTGTCAACTTTAGTAAAAAGTGAATAGTGGTGCATGCTGTGGTACTGTGAAAGTAAGTTGTGAAACTGATCACCTAAGATCAGATTCTTAACTCCTTTTTCTGTAAGCAGGGTAGGCAGGTGTCCTGAACCAGTGTTCTGTGTTTTCTCTGTCACTCAAAGGGGGTACCGAAGGTACCAAAACCTGTAGTTAAGTCCACATACTTTCAGGTTGAGTGGAACATCCGTTGGAAGCATCTGTCTCTCTCAGACAATTTTAGGGAGAATATAGAAGACTGCCCTAGTCTATACAGCAAGCCTAGCTGTAGTTGAGTAACACAGACCCGTTATGCGTGGTTACTACTAGTTCTACTCTTAGATATACTGTAGCAACATGTGTTACAATGAACTTGAGTCAAAAGACCATATTTTGTTGCAGCAGCATACACAAATGTAAAGTGCACTTAGATCATTTGCTTGGTAAACATTGTTACCTAAACAGCTTGAAGCTAAGGATGTGTTTGTAAGGCCATGCTTAAGAGCACTACAGAGATTCTCCGTGTTAGGGTTGAAAATAGCAACGTATGTCTAATCAGCAGCAGCACAATGTTTATAAAATTTCAGTGGAGTTTGCTTATTCTTTAGTTTCTGTAAAGTTACTTGTTGCATAAGTGTAGCTATTACTATAATAGTGCATCCTGTTGTTCGCATCTATTTGCATACGTATTACTTTCATTAGTCCTTTGTCATGCTTTGATTTGGGATGCTTTATAGTGTAGCTAACAACTGAATTCCCATCACAAATGATCCAAAGGTGTTTCTCTGTTTTATTTTTGGTAGACTCAGCTTCGAATTGATTCGTTCTTCAGATTGGCACAGCATGAAAAACTAGCCATTAAAAGTCAGAGACTACGCAGAGCTGTGACTTGTCTGAAGAGAAAGGAAAAAGAAGAAGCCGATGAAATTGAGGAGGCTACTGCTGTTATGGAGATTGAACTTAAACAGCATGAGGAGAGGAAAGGGCAAAGTACTGCAGGTGGCACAAACCGTCAAGCTGTGGCAGCAGAAGTCCGAAGTGGAAAGAGAAGAAAACATTCAGATTCCAGAGAAGAACATTTATATGGAGGTGGTTTTATGGGGAATTTGCATCTTTCAGAAACTTCTAGTGACTCCTCAGTAGAGGAATCGGAAAGCAGAGTTTTAGGCAGGAGCAAAAGGAGTGGACATGTCTCTGCAATGGAGACAGCAGACCATAAAGAGAAAAAGGGGTGCAGTAGCTCGAGTGGTGAGGATGAAGAACTGGGAAATGTAGTCATGGTGACTGCCAAACCTGTGTTTGAGGGCAGAAGAAAGAAATCACAGAGTAAGAGAGGAAGAAAAAAGAAAAAGTCTTAAAAAAGAGAGACTCTGTATGTGCGGTTGTAATGACCTAAGCTTTGTAAATATTCTAATGAATTTTTGATAAAAAATAATAAATTGTCCCTACTTGTCATGCATTTTGTGTCCAGAACTTAGAGGAGGGATTTTAAACAATGAAATAAATAATTTTAGCACATTTACTCATAAAGACCAAGACTGGACCTGGTACAAGTTTTCTTTTTTGAGATTTTGAGTTGAGCCAAAACATGATGTCTGTTTGCATTCTAACTGAGGCGAGATAGCTGTTAAAATAGCATGCATTCTTGTTGCTTCCTTCAAACTTAAATGAAATTTTGAAAACTACTTGGGTTATTTCTAGGTGCGGAGAGAAGGAAAATCAGTTCAATGAGTTTTGTTGTCCTTATTCCCTTCACTAAGCCTGTCTTGAAAGTTTTATGCTCAAAGTAATGTTGCTCATTGAACCATCCGTGAGACAGTGCAAGTCCTCGTAAAACCTCATGGGAGATCATACAGCACAGTCAGTCCTTATGTAATCTGATGTGCAGTAATTGTTTGTTCTGAACGAGTATGTCATGTTTCTGGGCTCGGAGTTAAGTGACCATGTCCAAAGACAGAATTTGTCAGCAAAAACGATGTCTGGAGGAATCCACTGGTTGCAGCACTCATGTTTGATTAATTTGTGAGAGAAACAATGTGTTAGGCTCAGACCTCCCCCCCCACCTCACCTGTCTCTGGATGGTGGCAGAATTTATTTATAGCTCCTGGGGATTAAGACAGAAAAGCACTCAATGCTGCCAGTCATGCTTGTGTTCTTACATTACATTTTAGTCCTCATTCTTGCTTCTTTTGTCTTCTCATTTGATATTTCTACTTCATTTCTCGTTGTTCCATTGTTTGAAAGTCCAAGTCCGTACGATGAAGTTTTATGTGAAACATTAGCCTCCCCTAAAAGGATGAAGGGCTGCGGTGAACTGGGTAGGATTTGCTCCCTGTGGTTGCAGAGTCTAACACTTCATGTATAATGTTTCCTGGGGAAACCAATCCCTTTAAGTATTACTTTTGTAAACAATGATCATACTTTAAGCAAGTTCTCAGGCTGGACAGCCAGTTTACAGCAGTGTTTTATAAACTGTTCCTTAGTATTACTGAATTTTGCTTTAAAAGTGTAGATCGGGTCTCAGTGATATGTTTGATAATTTCTAAATGTAGAAGAGCTCCTATTAATTTCTTCTGCCAAGTGTGGTAAAGTACAGAGACTTTCAGTTCTCTGTAGGACTTGTTTAGTGTTCTTGTACAATAATTTATTTTTTTTCAGTGGCCCTCACAAACCCTAGTTGAGGTTGGAGTCTAATTTTGCTAAAAATTGGGTAAAGTGAGAGGCAGTTCCTGTCCATAATTGATTACAATCTAAATAAGAGAAGCCTTAAAGATACCTGTGTTTGTTCCCATGGCAGTAAGGGGTTTGCTCTCTGCTGTCAATGCATGTCTTGCCGATACAGGAGTGGTATGTGTGTATTCATGCACGCTGATGTCTGTCTCGTGGGGTGAAGTGGGCTAGGGCTGTGGGGGCAGTGTACTTTGTTACGGCTCTGCGTTCCAACACAAGCACCCGTTTATGTACCCCTGCCACAAGTGCGGCCCTGCTGCTTTGGGAATTGCCCTCTGTGCTGGGAAGACCCTTTGACTCTGAAGGATGCTGTGTAGCTCCTCAGTTACTTTTTAGTAACAGCAAGTGGTTACTAAGGCTGTGCCACTAGCTTATTTTTGTAAAAAGTATCCCAAAGTTGGTTACTTTGTTGGTTGTAGCTCCCTGGCCTGGGTGCCTGCTGCCGTTATGAAACCTTCTCGCTGGCGCAGGGACGCAGTGCGTGGTGCCGGCTTGGTGTCGGTGCTGCAGCTGTCGGGATTTATTACTGCTGCTGGTGTGGGGATGTTGGCAGTGCGTGACGCGCGCTGCAGAGCACCCTTCTGCCTGGGAGGGAGACGACCCGGCGAATAAGGACTTCTCTGTTTGAGTACCATCTTTGGAAAGCTGCAAGAAATTCAGGTAATGTTGGCTGAAACACAGTGGATGCTAGTGGTATTTTACTTGTCTGTGTATTTTTCTCCAAATTCCTTTGTATTGTTTACTTTAAGCAGCATAACTGGCAAGTGAGCTGTTCTGCGCTGTCTGGTTACTTGCAGCACTCCTGAATTAGTATGGTAAAGTCAGACAGGTTGTTGTGGTGTTCAGTGTACTGCAAAGGTTACTTTTAGAAAGGAGAAAAAAAGCCCAACATAGAGGACCAGATAATACAAAAGTTTTTCCTTTTAGGGTGACCTTATAGTGCAGCATTGCTTGTCCTTCAGAATGCCGGAGGGACTGGTTATTAACCCGTTATTTTTATCTTCTAATGGGAAGAAGATTAATTTATTTTATACTTCTGAGACAGATGGCAAGCTGATGGATGTGTGTAACATTTACTGCTTAGTGTCCCAGTAGTTTCTAATGCTGCTTGTTGTTCTGAAGATGCGCACAAAGACTTTGAATCCCAGCGAATGTCTTCTCTGTTCCCCACGTAACGATGTTAGTATTGCTAAGTTCATAGACATAAATAGAATAGCGCTATTTTTGTTCTACAAGTTACAGTGAAGTGTAGAAGCCCTGTAAGTTATTCTTCACCTTCAGATAGGTTAATGGCTGCTGGCTCTGTGATGATAAGGCTGAACATTAAACCTGTTTGCTTTTTGTAGGGTGAAGTCAGGAGACGATGGTGCACCCTCTCTAAAAAGACGGGGCTCTTCTACACTGTCCTCTTTCGTCTGAAGCCTTGGGAGGAAAACCTGCCTAAGGCTTTGCACTGTGAGGAAGTTTTCTTGATATTCAGCATATGTTTTTACTTTGATTGCTCTGTCTTTCCTAATACTTTTTTTTCTCCTGAGTCTGCATGTTCAGTGTTTATATAGGCACGTACACGTTCTGTTCTGCATGTTGTCGTAGCTCCTGTGTCCTACTTACTCTCACGCCCAACCTTTACTAATGGATTGTTTCCTTCCCTTCCAAGTCAATTAATTCAAACAAGATTAGATCTTTTTAGTGCAACTTTTCTTCTCTTTCAGATGTTTGTTGCTACCTTTCCTTTCATTTGTTTATAAGCTTACCAACTCTGATTTAAATTGATTCTGATTTTAAAATGGCATGAAACAGTTTTAAACGTTTATCAAAGCTTTATTTTAAAAAATTTACTTGCTTTTTCCCTTTTAAGAGTAGAACAGTTGAACTAGTTTTCTACTCCTGGTTCTTTTATGCTTTGTATGCTGGTATTAATGTATCTGCATGTCTTTATTATCAATAAAAGTAAATTATAGCATAATTCATGTAAAAATAATTTTAATTATTTTGTGAAGTTTTATGTGGGCCAAAAGAAATAGGTATTTTATTCAGGCAGGCTTGTGTTTCTCTGTCTCAGGTGTTGTGGTATAGTATGGATGTGGCATCACCACAACACAATAACCTACAAAATAAACTGATAAGAAAATTGGAAAGACAAGAAGGTAAAATGTTTCTTATTTCACCACATTTTCTTGTGGCACTTAAGCATGTTGTTAAGTACAAGGAACAAGGTGTCTTGCTGATGATGAGCTATCTTCTCATTCATTTTTTCTGAAGAATTGTGTTTACGGCACTTGTACAGAAAATACAACAGATAGCGCTGTTGTAGTATGCTAGCTATGCAGTAAGTATCTGCGCTGCGGGCAGACTCTGATCCCGGCAGTTTCCTACCAGTGCCTGGCATCTTGCCTGCAACTGGTTCCAGGGAATGAAGCCATGACTACGATCAAGCTATTCAGGAGAGGTTTGTTTGTGGGGTGTCAGTTAGGGAGAACTGGTTATTACAAGCTTGGTTTTTGTCTAGACAGCCTCCAAGCTAATCTTCAGATACCTTCAGGGACAGCTGGCAGCTTTTTCTCTTAAGCAAGTTCATGGCTGCACATCTTTTAAGATCTGTGTGTAATTCTAACTTGAACAAAGAGCTCAAGTTGATCGTATGCAAAGCAGCATGATTTTTGGGGGAAGAAATACCTAGAAGTATAAATATTTAATATAGAACTACTAAAGACTGAAATTTTGGTGACTGTCATGTATTCTGTAGTGCAAGAGGGCTGAGCTGAAATTGCTCAGGCATTTCTGTGCTTCTGCAAGCTTGGCTCTCTACTATTGATACTCTTTTCATGCAGCATTCAGAGCAGGGAGGCGTGAATCTGCCTGTCATTTTTTTAGCTTTTGGATTATGAAAATAAATTGAGTTCTGGTACATTAGATCAATGTATGCAAAATTAGTCAGTAGGGCAGAATCTTCAGATCAAATGCAGAAATATGTTCTACTTAGGTAGCAGAGTAACTGTGTTGATAGCAATAGCATGTGGTTCTCTTCCATGTCTAGAAACACTAGTTTAGGAGGATGACAAGACCTGGGTGGAAAATGGGATGTCTTTACAGTTTCATGGCCTTGTTGAGCCTCATGAGGAAACTTGGAAACATTAAAGGCCAGGTTGGACAAGGCTCGGAGCAACCTGGTTTAGTTGAAGATGTCCCTTGTCATTGCAGGGGGGGTTGGGCTAGATGACTTCTAAAGGTCCCTTCCAACCCAAAGCATTCTGTGATTCACCTGACACCAGGCTTTGCCATATTGAATTCCATGCCAGGTTCTGGAGGTGAAGGGTACTGAACCTGCTTGCATGGAGACTTAACATGCTCTCACCCTGAGCCTGTCTTCCTTGTTCTCATCCTTTTTCCTCTACCGCCTTCCCCATTCCCATTTCATTAACTTCACCTACCCAGTCTCAATCTCTGTTTCTCGGTGTTCTTATTCCAGTTCAGTTTCTCTGCAAGTTCCAGTCTGAGCTCTTTATATTCGGTGCTTTCCTCTTTCCTTCTTAATTGGCTTGCCTCAAGTTCTGTCAGTTAAAATGCCTTACTCTTGTTCATGATTCCCATTGCTACTGGTTCTCGGCTTACAGGTAGGTCGTCACCC